GTGAAGTCCTCTGTAATAAGCTAGTCGTTTCTTACATGCATCCACTAACTTTGGACCATTATCGTTTAGCCTTGTTTTCAATGCTACAAAAAGCTAGAGTTTAGATCTTGTAATTATTAGGTGCTGTTTCATCTAGAACTGCTGTCGAACTCATTACAACTGAAAGATCAGATTAAAAGAAAGCTTGTTTTCCACACCAGGAAATAACGATAGAGAAGGTGTTCGGATATATTGCACTCATTTCTTGATATTTAGTTCACTTTTTTCCTCCGTTTCAAACGGAAATAGCCTAGTTTATAAAGATTACTTTTCTTTGTAAGAAGATAAATGGTTCGATATTATCTTTTTTTTTATGATAACTAAGACTTTTTCTGTACAACTTTTAAATAAATATAATGCTGGAAGAATTTCTCAAGCGTAAACACATCTAACAGGCATCAAACATAATAAAATTTTTTAATGTATAGAAAGAATAAAACGGTTAAATATTCAACGTTTGATAAATAACTCTATCGAAAAAATAAATATTTTTTAAGCATATATTTGTGTGATTTTTTTTTGAAATTGCAATATTAAAATTTTAAGTTTGATGAAATATCGTGCAATTTGCAAGAGAATTAATCATTATTTTCCACACAAAAAATACATTTATAATATTTAATTAATAGCGAATTAATTTTTAATATAATTGTATCTTATACAAGCGAGCAATCGATAAAAATTTGGTTTGAATGCTGAAAAATTTTATTATTTAATATAAATAGAAATTGTTGACGAGCGTAATTATTGGGCTGCAATTTGAAAATATTGTAAACCTATAAATTACTACTGGCTGTCTGACTGTCTGTTCTTCCTTAATCTTGAAAACGATGTTAGATAGATGAAATATGAGACTAGATATGGAAAGCCTTAGGGCAGGAGGCCTCGATTAACTATATACGAACGTCCGGTCCAGAACGAAAATCACGTAATTTCAATTAAAAACTTTTTCCTAAAAATGTTACGGCACGACTGTATTGTTAAAGAAAAAGTATGATATACAGGGGCAAGGGCAGGGGCAAAACTACTAATTTGGGGTGAGAGCATATATTTTAAATTAAATAAATTAAAAATATGATTAAAAATTACAGCCCGGCATTGTGACGATGTCACAGTAAGTTTTGATCGTTTTGATTTTCTAATTGTTTATTTTTCGATTTATTTAATATAATTTAAAATTATTTTCTATAAATACCTTATATTCTATATTCTTGAAACACTTACAAATCGACTATATTTTGGCTGCCGGGTTAACTTAGCTCATGTTTTTTTTATAAGAAGTATATCTTTGAAATAACAATACTTTTGATGTTTTCATAGAAAAACATTGCCGAAATATATTTTTTAAAAGGGATAAAATGTTGTAGAATTAATTAGAAAGAAAAAATAAAGTAAAATAGCTCGAAAAATTTTCAGGTTTTGCTAAACAGGTTCTTTCAATGAAAAATAATAAAATATGGGATTATATGAACAGATTAAAACTATCGACAGTCTTTATATTGAATTATTCTATAAATTTTATAAATCCACTTCAAAAATTTGATCGAATTCAATATCTTCTATAACCTTGTTTCTCTATGAAATTTTTATGCCTACAATTTCGTTTGTGGCTCCATCTGTTGCCCAGGCACAAAACCTTATAAATATATAACGAATTTACTATATTAATGGGGAAAATAATACATATAGGAGTATGTGTAATCTTTTATGTATAGAAAAAGTTACTGTAAGAAATCATGCAAGATTTAAGTTATATGGCATTCAACTTATTGCACAATAAACCTATGTGGACTGCGGCTCTTGACTGCTGCTTTAAACAATATTAATTGCTTACACTCTTTTTTTTTTTGTAAAATTATATAATTTAAACGTACATTTTTTTTAGCTAGAAAACTTAAATTAAGTTGCATTTAATTATATTATAGTATATATAAAAACTTCTCATAACTTTAAATACAGTAAAGACTCGTTCATAAAATGGATGGCTCGTAAATTGAGGAAAAATTATGTACTGAGAGTTAATAATATTTTAAATTTAATAAAGAATTGTGATTATTTTATAATTATTTTACATAAATAAATTTATAAATAAAATAAGAAAAAAGTTATAAATGAAATATATATTTGAAAACCGTGGTATAATGATATGGGATTCATTTAGATCGACCGGCTCCGAGGTTTTCTGGCTAACTACAGTAATAATGTCTGTTGAGTCTTTTTCTTTCTCTCCTCAGCGTGTTATAATATAGTTTGAGAGCATTTGTTACAGCTCTTCGGATAGAAGAGCCACATTCTCACTTTGAATCATTATCTCAGTCGGGAGATTCACAGGCAGTTTGTATCTGTGTTAAAGTTTCTTCAAGTGTCTTTGTGGTGAGAGCCTGAATGGTAGTATTTCCTGAACTTCTTTGTCCTCTTCGCTGTTTCTTTCAGCAAGTTATGCTGTCAGCTCTTTCAAATCTTTCTTTCAAAGTGGCTCTTCACGACTTTCTAGCAACTCATTGACATCATCAGCTATATCTAAAACAGACCCAAACCTAGAGAAGTCAGAAATTGCATCAGGCCACAACTTCTAGTAGATACCATTCATATATGACTATGATACTTCTTGGCCAGGCTGCTGAAATGTTTATTATATTCTTAAGAATATTAAAAGACTTCCAAAAATAGTTACTAGTTTTTTCCATTAAAATAACGCCAGTTTTGTTAAAAATCGCAATATTAATCAGCCAATATAGTGCATTATATTTATGTTTTTGTTTTTATCGAAGTTATGATACTTTAGGAGCCGAAAACTAAAAAACTCCTTTCAAAATTCTGTATGTATGTGTTTCGGTGTCTACTTTGTATTATATCTCAGAACCAGATGAACCAAAACTTTAAAAACTTGGCAGGGTTTATTTTTATATATTTGGCATTAATACTATTAAATTTCCGTAGTTAAAGGTTAAGGGGAAACAGAGGAAGGTCATGTGTTTATATCTCGAGTTAAGTCAGACTTAAAAATAACGAGTAAAATTTTCATTATAATTTCTTTAAAAACTCACTCTTACCCTCAAAAATAAGTCTTTTTTTCTTATATAAAAATTAATTATAATAAAAGTATTTTAAAAAATATACTGATTTTAAAATGTTCATAAAGCGGAAACGAGAAGAAAACACGTAAAACGAGATGTTATTAAAATGTTTCTAATTCTTTTGAGAAATGTCATATCTTAAGTCCATTAGGGCAAACTTTAGAAAATTCTAAACCTAGCAGAAAAATTCTAGCATTATATTGACGCGAGGATAATATCTTTTATAAGATAAAATTATATTATAATAAAAATAAAAAATAACAATTCATTAGCAATGAAACATTAATTGTTCATATTAAGGAGCTTTCCATTAATTACGTTTATAGTTTAAGAGAATGGGAGTTGCAAAAGCACATAATTGTACACAATGGATAAAGGAAGGAAGTTAAGGTATTGACTACGTGTACTTTTTAGTGGTATTAGCGGCATACTCTGTATAAATTTATATTTATAAGCCTACTTACTAGTCACACGAATAAACATTCAGTTAGAAAATATTTGCAGAACTTTGTCATTTCGTCAATGTCAAGTGGCTCCTTGACCTATTATACACGTAATTCAGGAGGAAGGAGTCTTTCAAAAGTACAGTACATCATTGTGCACAACAGAGATGGAGAGGATCAAAAGTGACTTAAAACTATACATGTAATTAATGAATGGCCTCTTTAATCAAATTTACGATTAAAAAAGATATCATAAAGTTTTTAAAATTTATTCATCTTTTTAGTAGTAAATTTATTTTTTTATTTTTTTTTGCTAGCGAACAATATTCTGCGACATATATTTATGATATACAGTATCGTTAATGTCATTCAGGAAAGAGGTTTAATTAACAATTTAGAAATAGTTGAGTTAAGTTTAGAAAATCAGGAAAATCCGGATTAAAATTCTTATTAAATTATAAGAAAATGTAAAAGATTGCTTTAATGTTTTGGTCACTATCAAACTTTTCCCAAAGTTCTCATAACTGTAATTAGAAAACTATTCGTTCAATAAATTAGGTTTCTGAACAGCTTCCATAAAAACCATATTATCAATTGCGACGCAACAATATTAAATAGATAAATTTATTTTCATTACAATGTTTAATTTGTTAAAAAATTACATAAACAAATTTCATTTTTAAAATTATTAAAACCAGCTCACAATGTTTTAAAATTTATTCTTTAAATTGCAATATTATATTATACAATTTAATAATTAAAGACGGAGATATTTAATATCAAGTTCCAATAAATTTCATTAATGTAAGTTCAGTTGTTGTTATGTTATTAGCTCTCTGAAGTGAATCTGTTGTTCTGCTTTGTTATTATCCCCATAGACAAAGAATCGCCATTAAATTAGTCGAAAGTAGAAATTTTTGGTAAAAAAATATTTGCTATATTCCTCACCTGTCCCGTAAGATTATTTTCTCTTCTCTAAATTGAAACTTGCACTTAAGAGTCGTGTTTTTGGGACTTTCCAGCGCTCTTACTCCTATAACATGGAATTAAATAATATTTCTGAAAAGACTCTTCGTGGATGTAAGAAAGGTCTATGACTACGTCAACAAGAATATACCTTTACAACTAATGCATTTCGAACATTAACAATAAAACTTATTTCTTGCATGTTTCGATTTTTCTTTTCTTTTTTCTTTTGAGATTTTAGTTCTAAAACTTTTTATACATATCCAGGACCAGATTTTCTCGTAAACTAAGTAGGCTGCTTAGGGCCTGGCTTAAGGCTCATTACTTGCTGGAGAGATATGCTTGTTATGTTATAGCTGAAAATAAGGCTAAGTCCAGATATGTCACTTACAATATGTATCATATGCTGAAATAAGTTTAAACATAAAATAGTAGAAGCAACTTATCAGTAAATTTAAACTTTGATAAATGTAGTAATGCATCGAGCGTTTCAACACGATTTGTATCGAATGAGACTCATTACAGCAAGAGCTTATGTTAAAGCTCTAACTTCAAGCCTCAATCCAGTATCATATAATGCCAGTGACCTTCTCAGACTTTCTGCTCAGGTATAGTATACATTACAGTCACAGCATGCTTTATTTAAGTATTAATGAATGCTTATTTATTTTAGGTACAAGGATTAGGACCTATGTTTCGCCTCAGATTAGAATTACAAAACACCTCAAATAGCAAACCGTCCATTAATCTGTACTTAATATTTAAATGTGATGTTCGTATTTATAAAATTGAGAAAACTTATATCCCGGTGATTAATTTGTTTCAAATAAATACACTTCTTGAATAATTTAATGTAATGTTTTAATTTGAAATTATTTTTAAATTGTAGGTTCCTCTTTTGGCACCTGGATTATGCTATTCATTTGCAACGTCAGTAGAATGTAGCAGTGAGATGAATATTTCTGATATAATTAAAGTGAGTTTATTGTTTTTATTTGAATAAAACCAATTTGAGAATATTAATATTCATTTTTTTCTTAGGTATTTGTTGTGAAACAAGGTAAAAATGCTCCTTTGATAACGGCTATTATTAATATGCCTGTCAGTGAAGGAATAAATCCAATGTGATGTATTCATATTTTTTTAATCATGGATATAAGCACACTTTTTGCACATATGTACAATTTGTAAATATTGAATCATTTGTAGTCTTATACAATAATTAAGAATTATTTTTTAACACATTGTACTAAATATAAAGCATGTTTGTTACACAAATATTTTTTCTATGATGCTGTGTCAGTCCGAAACCATACATTGGATTGATGGGAAATTAAAACCAAAACCTGTCAAAATCAAAATTAAGTTAAATGTTTTATTTGAATTATTATAATTACTTCATCATCAGTTACACAGTGTGAGTTATTGTTAATAGAATATTTGTGCCATCTGATGGAAATCAACAGTGTAAATTAAACTGTTATAAAAATAAAAATGACATTGATAAGATATGTTTAAGTTGATTACATGCTAGTAGTAGACTGCTTTTATTTTTCCTTCAGGTAGCTATAACTAGTTAAAGATGGTGTACTCACATAGCAACCACAATATATATTAACTATGCATATTAAGGCATGTATTACACTATTAGTGTACTCACAAACAGTTATTAACAATTAAAACAGATATATGCAAAAAGAAAACTTTAAAAATGAATTTAATCTACTTAAATGTTTTCAAGCTATTGTAGTGCTAATATCAATTCATAATTCATCACTTGGCAATTTGTTATCATTACATAGCAGTTACTACAGTAGAGCATCGATTATCCAACCTCCCAATCAACCGTCACATCGGTTAACCGATCGTTCTAGTCGGCAAATTCAAATGCCCGCTACTGATGTGGCGCTACAATATTTGGCTATGTCGTGGCTACTTTAATATTATATTTACATGTTTTAGCTGGCAACACTGGCTCGACCATGAAAGGGGACCAGGATTTAAACGAGGCTTAACTTTCTAATTTTTAATGATACAATAGCGACGATTATTATTTTAAAAAATTTTTGTTATGCTTAACATCGATGAAAATTCAACGCGAAGTAGGTTAATAGTGATATACTAATATACTAATTACATGGGATATACTAATATACTATACTAATAATGTATTTTTTCATATTTTTCGGTTATCTGTTTTTTCAGTTATCCGATCAACCCCAGTCCCCAATTGAGTCGGATAATCGATGCTCTACTGTACTACCATACCTCCATTCACTTAGAACTATTGAGTCTGCTGAACATGCATTATTTATGATTAAAACACTTCATTTCCATTTTTGCTATTGTTTTTTCTTTCAAGTTATTATTTACATGAATATTTAGTAAGAGTTAAATTTGAAAAAAAATAGATTTAAAGAAAGGAAGTAATATGGAATAAGCTGCAAGCCTTTTCATAGTGAAATGTGTGGTTGCAAAGATGCTTATTTTGAAGATGGCTTGTAAATACTCAGGGAAAGATGGAGGCAAGATAAAATAGTTAAGGAACCTTTATTTTTTTTATAATCTTTGTCTGTCATTAATAATAAATAACAACATAATAGAAGCTTTGTCATTGAATGCTCAAAGATGTGTATTTCAACTACAATCAATAAAACCTCAAATTATTAACATTTTTTCTTCTTTTTTTACAATGTTTATGAATAATGTCAAATATCCTATCTTGCTCTGCACATGGAGTAAGACATAGTATGTTTAGAAGCAATATAGAGTGGTTTAAATTAAATTATTTTTCAACTAGCTGTGAAACAATATTTAGGATTACAGTGGTACCTCAGGATATGAATGCCCCAGCATATGAAATTTTCAGGATACGACATGAAATTCGAACATATTTTTGCTGCATGATACGAACAAAAACTCACCATATGACGTTACATTAGTTCACAGCGCCTTTTTTTATTCACTTCTGTTCATTGGTCTCAGTCCGCGTGTTTGCTTTGTCGTGGAAGGATCTCGCTCAATAAAGGAAATCTTGAGGTATTATCAGAAAGTGACTGATTTTATTGAAAAGAAACATCCCGACCATTTCATTGACTTCAAATCTACTCCCAGAATACACCTTATCCAGAACTATTCTAACGTGCCAACCTTTACATTTATTCTTCCTAAGAAAGAATAAATGCCTAAGGAACAGGCTGAATCCTCTCCAGCATCAAGTCTACAATCAGATCTTTCAACCACAGGTATTTATCGCTATGTGAACTTCATGTAATCTCTCTCTCTCTCTCTAGAAATGCAGAGATATCTAGACCTATTTTAGCTCAATTTATTATAACTCAATTAACAATATAAAATAACAGTTTACAAATAAACAGTTATTTGTTTTTTATATTGAAGTTAAGACCATGTACGAAAATATACATTTTTGAGTCTTTTTTTAATCCATTAACACAACCACAGAAATAACAGTCACATTGGCTTGAAGAAAAACTTCATTAAAAAGACAAATAATAATAGATAAAAATTCACAAAAAAAAATTAAACACAATTAAAAAAAGACTCGAAAATGTATATTTTCGTACAATGTCTTAACTTCATGGACTTAACTTTTCTTCCAGAATATTTTAAATTAAAGTAATTAATTAAATATAATTACAGAAAAGTAGCCCGACGTAATCTGGTGGTGGTTTGGCTTTATGAATTTATTGGGTTTCATAATGTTTGTTTATGCATATTTAAAAGAGAAAACAATTGAAAATTTTGCTGTTCTTTTATATTAACAAACTAAAAATTATATACATTTGTGAAATTATTTCCAAAATTGTAACTGACCATTCCAAGTTCCAATGGCTAAAGTATTCATTAATTTTGGATGCCAACATACACTCACTACAGGAGAATCATTTGTACAAATCAATCTTTTCACTAGTTTGGCATTATCCGTTTTATAAATATACGATGACCCTTCCGCGTCACCACTTAATATGAAATTTCCATCAGGACTGAAATCGCAATCAATGTTATATCCGCACACCTTAAGAGAAGAAAAGTTATTGTAAATACATTTATATATTCTACCAAAGACATTGTCAAAACAATAAACAAATTTTTATACAAATTTACCTTGTGGCCCTCGTAACGCTTGTTCTTATTCATTTTATATGGTCTTGTGGATGAAAATACTGCAATGTAATTTCCATTCGTTTGGGCTATAAAATTCACTCCTGATGGATGAACTTTCAATGAAGGACAAGTGTATCTCTCCTACAAATAGTCAAATAGTTTTATCATAATTAACTGAATTTAGTATGGCAAAACCTCGCTAAATTGAACCATGTTAACTCAAAGCCTGAACACGGGTTCCCAGGCAGGTTTTCCATATATATATATTACAGAATAGCATCGATTATCCGAAACAAATCAGGACTGGGATTGTTTGGATAACTGATTATTTATGAAAAAATATATTAAACACAAAACTGTACTGTATATATTTTGTATCACACATCTTACAAATACTGTACATACCTTACATAAAGTAGTACATTAAAGTAGGCCTACAGTTTAGGTTGACAGAGAGAGGGAAAGTCCTGCAGTGTGACAGCATCGTGGAAATTTGAATTTGCTGACTGGAACGCTTTCGGTTAACCAATGTTTCAGTTGATTGGTATTCGGATAATTGATGCGCTACTGTAGTCTCATTATGTCAAAATTATTGGTACTTTTAACTCAAACCTATTTTTCCACATACTCTCCACAATCTTCATTTTCTCTTGTATTCTGCATGAATACAAACAATTAAGATAAACAAAAACTATGACAACTTTGTGTCACACCATGACAACTTTGTGTCGACATCTTTTACCGATACCATGTCTTATTGGTATTCTAATTAGGACACGAGGGGACACTCAACAATACATGAGATGCTGTAAACTGTATGCAGTTTTGTAATCATTCAGCAGATTCCCAAGAAATGGCTTGATAACAGGAAATTCACAGCCACAGAAAAATTGAGTAATTCTTATCCCCTAAACTTTGACTCAACAAGGTTTTACCATATTAATTTTAACACGAATCATTCAAATTCTTCAAAAGTTTTAATGGACTAAAGTGGATTATAAAATAGCAAGATGCACCACACTTATAGCCGAAGCACAGAATGGGTTTAATTAATTGTAATTTGTATGTAGGTGACCAAAATGCAACTGATTGTGCACTAAAAACATTTCTCGCATCATTCATTATGGAATAGAATTAGCAATACAGTTAATTAGCTATATTCAATTACAGCACAGCTAAATCTTTCTATTATTTATAAATCATGTGTCAGATTTATTTGTGGGGTGGATTATCATGTGCCAGAAGCTCGATTTGGCCCAGGAGCCACAGTTCAGACACCACTGAGCTAAACGACAGTTTGAATTTTATCTTAAAACTAGCTGTTACCCGCGACTTCGTCAGCGGAGGTTTTGCAAGCAAACCCCATTTACATCCAATATTTCAATAACCATAGTAATTGTTATATAACACCTACCGCTGAAGAGAATTGCCGAAAATCAAACGAACTATTTTCAATTTGATCAATTTTCTGAAACGTTTACAATCGTTCTATAATCGAACCAATACGCAATAACAAATTCGAATTTAAAACGGTTCGAACATTTTTAAAATTGAAATATATAAAAATATTTAAACAATGTCTGAAATGTGATCAATTTAATACACCTAAGTACTCGATGAAGACTAAACGTAGTTGAAAACAAAAAATCGCATCTAAAATAGTACAGTAGAAGCCATTCTTCCGGTTAAGCTTAATCCTCTCCCTCTCCCCCCGCGGGAGAATTTAGAAAAATCCCTTCTTAGTGTGCATTGCCATGGCATTCCCTACTAAAACGCAGATAAAAACAAAAAATTGCATCTAAAATAGCGCAGTAGAAGCCGTTCTTCCGGTTAAGCCTTAATGCTCTCCCTCACCCCCCGCGTTGGAATTTCGAAAAATCCCTTCTTATTGTGCATTGCCATGGCATTCCCTACTAAAACGCAGATAAAAACAAAAAATTGCATCTAAAATAGCGCAGTAGAAGCCGTTCTTCCGGTTAAGACTTAATGCTCTTCCTCCCCCCCGCGTTGGAATTTCGAAAAATCCTTTCTTAGTGTGCGTTTCCATGACGTACCCTAACTGTGTACCAAATTTCACCTCTTTAGGTTAAGCGGTTTGCTCTGGGCGATGATGAATCAGTGAATGAATGAATGAGTCAGTCAGGACAAGCAATTTTATATATTTAGATTATACTATTAGATTTTATTTTCTTTTAAATACAACATAGATTTCTATGGCACTCCCAGCACTTTATCTAAAGAGTTGGCATTGTAAATTGACAAATAAATTTTGGATTCAAAGCACAGCAGTGTGGAAATCTAAGAATTAAGTCCTAATATATCTACCAAGTGTATCCAATAAAAATTTGTGTATCATATTAAACATTAATTTACGCTACAGACTTCCAACAATAAATCAAGCAGCTTTGCATTAAATGCACATCTAAAAAGCTTCTGTTCTGAACAAAACTCTGTGAATTGAACAAGAATAGTTTTAACTGGCTTCTTTAATGCTAAATATGTAAATAAATTAATTTAAAAAGTTTTTTAATATATTTACCTGATAAATTTGATTAGATAATAATGCTCCGGTTTCAAAATCCCAAGCCATAATCGTGCGGTCGGCAGAATCTTTTGACACCAGATCGGTGCTGCAAATAATCTCCTTGCCGGAAGATAAAAATGCTAAATCCAACACCTAAACAGGGATAAATGCTTCAATTGAATGGATAAAAAGAAGCAAATTGTTAGTCACGTCATATGAATACCTGTCCAAAATTGAAAGAAGTCTTCTTTACACATCGCTTGGAGTCTGTGCGGACGTCAAAGATCTTTATGGAATTTTTCGACCCGGTTAACAAGACATTCACATTTTCTGGATGAGCTCGAACACAGGTGACATAACTACTGTGGAAATAAGTATTGAGTACTTTACCTAGAAATAAATCAATAATATTTAAAAGATTTAATATTTAAAATAAATTTTAATAAGGAATCATATAACATTTAGAAATTATTTGTTTAAAATTAAAATATATCAATTAATTCTATTCTAAAAATGTTACATAATTTGTTATTTGTGTTAAGTTGTTATAAACAAAGGGAGTTCATTTATTTTTCACTTTTATCCCCTCTTCCTGCTCTGTGTGACTAAGAGAATGTTTTTTTCAATGCTTCTAGTGGGTTTGACAGGCCAAACAGTCGATAGATTGCCCACAAAAATTCCCAGGTTTGCTTCTCTGGATTCAATTCCAGGTTTCCTATTGTGGCAGGCCGAGACCTTAACTTCCTTGGCCATCCATGTGTCGATTTAATTTATTATAAATTCATTCAGTTGTCATAAAAATTATTCATGTTTAATAGTTACTACTGTCATAAACTACATGGTGGAAACTTGATTATCCAAATTTGACGGGGCAAGGGATCTTTTGGATAAATCTGAAACTTGTTTGTTTTTGCATTTTGGGTATGTCAGCACCACCCACTAGTAGCTGAGCATATAAAACCATCAAATGCCAGTAGTCTGTGGCAGATTTGCACCTCACCAATGGTCCAGCCAAATGGAATTTTCTGGGTTTTTTTCACATTAGTAACACATAAATAGGGGCAAGTTTCCCATAAAAGAGCTCTCCTTCAACAGATTGCTTGCATGTCACATCACCATATATGAATAAAACCAAAAATTAAGCATCATGAGCTTAATTTTTTTTAAACTAAAATTAATTTTAAAGTTTCAAGAACTATAAATACCGTAACGCAATTACTATATTTGAAAGTAAATTAATTTATCAAATGTAATGTAATGTTACATATATGTAATCTAGTTTTGCGGTACTACAATCAAAAGATGAAGTAGCAATTTCAAGTTACACAGAGTTTAATCTCTGTGTAATTATACTCTGTGATATATACTGTACAATGATACATGTTATATTTTTTTCTCATCAAAAACTGTATTGGATATTCGAGTTTCTGCTGCATATTAAACTTAGAGGTAATTATTTAATTTTTATACTTTAAATATAATTTTATTGAGTTCTAAAAGAGAAAAACAAGAAATTTGATCTGTGCAATCATTTGACCAAACTAGTGAGAAGTATTTAAATTGCACTGCCAAACAGATGTTCGGCATTGCAGTGGTATGCTGCTGTTATTTTTGAAAACAGTGCATTACAGTTTATAAGAAGTTGAAAGCATTGTCTACGTAAACTGTTTTTAGTGGCATACAAATTTGTTCTTGCAAGTCTACTTACTAGCTATGCAAATAAACTAACAATCAGAAAACATTTGCATAACATTTTAAAGTCATTTCTTCAATGTCAGGGAGATCTAAGAACTATTGTATGTGTAATTAAAAGGAAGGAGGTATAATTCATAACTGGGAGGGAGGGGATTAAAGGCTCAAAAACTGTACACCTTTTGATTTTAATTAATATTGCAGTCATTGTTGCATTTGCTTCAGGATTTAATGATGAATATTGCATACACTGGATAAGCAAGGCAACGACTGCCCTTTTTAAATAAAATAGGCCATCATTGGCTCATTTGGCTGCATTACTAGGCAATGCACCTGCTACATTCAGCAATGTTTGTTTTGTCAAGTAAATAATTTTCCTAGAATAAAAAGGTGTTTTAATTTAATTATCATTGTAAACAACCTAATACACCAGTGGACAGTTTGCAGTTTTTACATCAGATTGCATTAGAAACTACTAACTTCTAACACAATCTGATAAAATATAAAACAGAATAACAAATAAATAAATATCCAAAAACTTATTTTCCACATAAATAAAAAATTTCTATTCTTGCATGTACATCCTCAACACAACATGCAGTCTTACAAGATCCCTCTAAAATTGACTGTGGCTTCCAATTAGTGTTTTCCATCTTTTCTAATCAATCTAAATATAAATGAAGGGTAAACTTAAAGTTGCCTCTACTGAATTAAGATACGTCTGAAATTTGCAATCATCTTTTTTTTTCATCATTCTGATTGCTTATTCTACTTTTCTTATTGTGTTTTTACCAACTAAGAACTTAAATCATATTTATTCCTTAAACTTTTAACCAGAATCTAATTAATAATTTACATATAAGAATTAATACCAGTAACGACATCTATGTGATTTGCTTTACAGTCGTATCCTCCAGAGAAAATCTTCCTGCCACACAAAGTCCAGATGCCAGCTTTAATTCCCTTTGCGTGATTATTAAATTCCCTCTCGCACTTTGCAGATAATAAGTTCCATACTTTAACCGTGCAATCAAATGATGATGAAAGTAGAAGGTGAGGAAATGATGGCGACCAATTTAGTTTGCTTATACACTGAGAATGTGCATTAATTTTATTAGTCATATACGAAGGTAATTTCTCACTTATTGCTGGAACATTGAAAGGTGTATAGAAGAAAGAACTATCTGATAAGTCAACTACTGATTTAGTTTCTATCTGTGAAAATTCATTATCTATACTTTTATTGGATAATTTAGGAAACTTTGCTTTTGAATTCCGTTCTGAACAGGTCCTGGATTTTTTATTAAACTTATTTATCGATCTGTCGTCAGCATCCTCCTCTTCCTCTTCAGGATTTGGGCCGTAATTAGAAGAGTGTAAAACCTGAGTTTCTTCTTGTATTCGTAATTCTGCACGAATTTTCTCTTCTTCTCTTTTAACTTCGTCCTCCTCGTTGTCGTCGTCGTCGTCGTCTTCTTCATTGAGCTGAAAATAATCACATCGTTCATTCTGAGCTTCAAACTCTTCGTTTGAATCGTCCGAACTTAAATATTCTTTTAAAATGTCCATTAATTTCCGCCTCGTTTATTCATATTAAGTATCAAAAAGATTATTATACTCCCGTTACACGTGCTCTTATCCTCCATATTTACAAACATTACGTTTCTTTTCCCGGCAAATTGGACGCCCNATCTATACCATCACATTTTCTATTATATAACTAGGATCAGAAAAATTTTCTTTTAAAAACATTGGATGATTAATGCTCAGAAAAACTTTTAAAATTACCAGAAGGCATTATCTCCAATACCAAACGTGGATAAGCAGTATTAGAACAACTAACTTCATTTTGGCAATATTTATAGCATTCCTTTGGATCCACACATCCTACTTCATCTGAAATTGAAAAATACAATCATTAATGAATTACTTGTATATTTAATATAATATAATAAATATTAATAATTTAAACTTTCCAATATTTGAATAATTTCTCATGACGTCAGAACTTGTTAACTCGCTTAATAAGCGAGTAAGAACCAATGATAGCTCGTTTCATATCAAACGGATTATGTCATTGGTTACTCAATTAGTTACGTAACACATGGGCAATTTGCCAAGGAGATGTCTCCCTGAAGGTCTTTTATGAGAAACTAGACCCTATTTGGAACCAGAAAACAACACGCGGCCAGACAGTTGGTAAGGCGCGAACACACGATAAAGTACAGTTTTATCCACTAAGCCACTGGTAGACCCACTAGTGTTTTCTAGTCTCGACCGGTTTTGTTTAATCAAAACAATTTGTTATAGTGTTTTCGTGTCTTCTCGTCTCCCAGTTTTAATATCTAAACAGAAACAATTTTTCGAAGTAGTTTAGCACCTTAGTCGAAGAAACTTATTGTTCGGCGATAAACAATGGCTTCGTTCAACAGATACGTACCGATTCCGTATCTGTTGAACATTGACGCAAAACAACGTTGTTCACTGTGTGTTTTGACGTCACGTTAGTACAATAACTACTGCGTTACATATAGCAGCTACGGTTAGTAAGTTACTGTAAATGAATTCCGGTACTAACTGTTACATAAAAACACTCAAGTTGTTCGAAATAACCGCTAATGCAGAGAGCATTCGGCAGATAAATACTGAACTGTTTCGTAACACTTGAGTCTGCACACAGCCAATATAAATCATTAAGTGATGACGTAAGATAAAGCCGAAACAGTGGAGCATTGGGGTTTTATGACGAACTGAATTGAACATAAAAAAATCTTCATCTCGTGTACCGCTTATTCGTTAGTAGTAGAGAAATTAGACACGACACAATATAAATAAAAGTGAATTTTAATTAGGAAAATTTTCTGTTTTCTTTAAGGTGTCAGTTCCCCTTAATCTCCCACTGAGTCGAACTAGTATTTGGTTAGGTACATGAAAATACACCTCATATTTAGTCAAACTAGTTTTAAAACGTCATAATTAAACACATTCAAGCGATCCGATTGGATATTTTAAACAGAATCGAATATAAAACCATTATAGTTTGTATCGTATTAAACTAATGCATAAGATATTAAGAGACATTAGAATACTTGTTTATAATCACGCAATCTGATATTATAAGTGATTCTAACTAGCAAAATGGAAACTGCACCGACATTCAAATTTGTCTTACAATTGGCTTAAATCTCATGACTTATTTTCCATGAATATTTACTTTAAAATACACTAGAAGAAATTGAGTTTTGGATTTTCAAAATCCAGTTTCTCTCTCTTTTTTTTTGTAATTTTAATGCATTAAATCTTTATTAAATCACAACTTTATAAGCATTAAAAAAAACAACAACAATAACAAAATTTAAAGATTAAGTATTAATCAACGGGGAACAGAGTCGAAAAGGAAGTTTTAATTTCATTTATCATATCACAAGTGGTAGTACTTCTAGAAAACTTCTGAAAGGCCTGCCTATTGCAACGTCTCGTTAGCATACACGCACCCAGAGCGGCAATCATCATGGGAGACGTATTATGACATTTGAACTCCTTATTCTTCGATGCTAATTGGCTCCAATAAGCAAAAACACCCATAGAACCCGATAACAGATCACCCTGTCCTCCGCATCTCCTAGGACTTCCTTTTTCTTTACAGGTAATGGTGTTAATCCCATTCGATATCGTATCTTCGCAACCCTTTCGAACTATTGTGACATTTCCTAGTTTCTCACACAGATATTTCACTTGATCCGTTTCTTGGTCCTTTAACAATTCTGTACCCACGACCGATTTGTATAATCTTGCAAATTCCATAGCGTTTGGTGTCAATATAGCATTTTCGTATCCCTTGATGACGTCGAAATGGCTACAGATGAAGAACAATCCGTCAGCATCGATCACAATAGGAATTTTTATATCTTTAGCTTCCTGGATGACTCGGCGTATGGCACCGTGTATCTTCTCGTCTCTTCCCAGACCGGGTCCAATTATCACAGAATGAATCTTAGAGATGTGTTTTTTAATATCTTCGGTCGCATAATTTGCATTTAATGAAGGATAAACGATCAATTCCGGGCTGTAAGATTTAATCACAGGAGCGGAATCTTCGTTGCAGAACACGTATGCTAAATCGCATCCTACTTTAAGTGCGGAAATAGCGGAGAAATAAGGAGCGCCTGTATATTCTCTGCTACCGCCGTAAACGGCTATTCTACCAGCTTGACCTTTATGCGTCGAGAAGGAAAGAGGAGGAATTATCGAGCAAACGAGACGTTGTTCCGTAGAAATGCAAGGCACGTTTACCTCCATCTTGTTTATACAGCGACTCCTTCTGTAGGAATAATGAATTACAAGTTTTTAATTTTTTAAATATTAAATTAAAAAAAATGAATAATAATAATATTAATTTATTACTTCGTAGTATTAAAAGAAAATAATTAATATAGTTGAATAATTTACATTAAAAAAGAAAATATAAAAAATAATTGGCATATTTCGTCACTATCGTAGAGTGAAGTATGCTATCTACCGACCATACTTCTTTATAGCAAAATATTTTTAATTATAAATTATTAATATTTTAAACATTTATATAAATTTTTATACGCAGGAAACTATTCCCAAAATTAATCAATTTTTTTTTTTTTTAACTTCGGCCTGTGAGCATTACGAGGGTCTTTTTCTACGCCCATAAAGAGTTTAGCAGGATGATGAGGGTTAAGACCCCGCGTATACTGAAGTCCATTGAAGTCCGGATCTATCCTGGGTCCTTTAGATCGGCAGACAAATGCTTTTACTTTCTCGGCTTTTATGTTAATCTGTTTTAGTAGCAACATTATTTCATTATGCCGCTTCTTATGGTAAGAATAATTACCGTATGTCTTTAATTTTGCTTCGGAATAATTTCTTGTTAATTAATCCAATTTTGTCATTTTCTGTGTTATTCATTTATCATTTCAGGAATTTCTAGGAAGAGCTCTAAAAATTCGAGTTTAAATATAAAACTTTGAAGAATCTCTTCAAAGTTTTGTATTTAATAATATAATTATATATTATAAT